CACGCGCCTTTCCTTCTCGTTAGAAGACTCCCCATGGCAGTGGCAGCATCACCAGACCCCGTACAGCATGGTCTTAACTTCTACTCCCACTTCAGACGCCAGCTGAAGCCTTGCATCTCAGGGGAAGCCTTCTGTGACTACTCACTCGCGTAGCTCTCTCCTCTTTTATACACTTCCTTGGCATCATTTACTTCTTTTGGTAACTGTTTCTTTATAGCCTGGATTCTCCCACTGGACTCTGCACTCCATGAGGGGAGGGACCATACTTGTTTTACTCACCATTATATCCCCAGCCCCTGGCACAGTACCTGGGGACATTCTAGGTGCTAAATAAATACTTGTTGATGCCATGTGGAAGCAGCTGATGGAAAAAAATATGTTGAATGAACAAATTAGGGGCATGCACAGCCATTACAAGGTGAGAACCAACCTCCCTCCCTCCCTCCCTCCCTTCCTTCCTTCCTTCCTTCCTTCCACAAACATCTACTGAATGCCTTCTGAGTGCCAGGCACTGTCGGAGGCACTGTGGCCGCAGTGCTAAACAAGTGAAGACACAGTCCCTGCCCATGAGGAGCTCATGAGGGGAGGGAGAAATACAGCCATGGGGCTAAACCTGTCCTGTGCTGCCTTACTCCAGAGAAGAGCCACATCCTTGCCCACTGGCACAGTCACCTACAAAATGTGGCTGATTCTCTGGGGCCGTAGAGAATTCTCCTTGAACTTCCCCAATACATAGCTTAGCTACTTGTGGGGTAAAAATACCAATAGATAAAAGAAACTTTATTGAAGAGCGATAACTAGATTTCTCTTCCTAGTGATAATAATAGCAAGAAGCATTTAGTGAGTATCTGCTATGTGCTGAACACCTCATCTCATGTCATTCTCACAACAACTGTGACATCTAGTATATTATTTTTGTTTTAGCGATGAGGAAACAAGCTGAGTTTAAAGAGTTTGCCACCCAAAAGGTCACACCTGGCATACAATGGATGCTTGTTAAATATTTATTGAGTGAATGAATGAATGAGAAGCTAATAAGCAGAAAGGCCAGGACTGAAACCTAGATTTCTGGCTCCAAAGCCCTTGTCTCTTTCTACTCTTTATTCCAAGCAATTAGTTTTGAACTCTCAGAGTCAGTATTAGAAAAATAATCTGATGTTGGGCTCTGGATCTGTGCTTTCTCTGATCTGGGATCCACAGCCTTCCCACAGCTGCACATGGCACCTTAGACACCAGGCCTGGCCAGGGCAGGAAGTTTGGTTCTAGAGAAGACCAGATCTTAAGCCCTCTGGAAGATGTCCATAAGATGAACCCTTCCCCATCCTGCCCAGTCTTCCTTCAATGCCCCAAACTTGGGTTAACTTATCAAAAGGACTGAGCCAAGACACTTGTCTGGGAGATGGAATATCACTCCTGCATGGGTAGAATCAACCCATGTCCCTTGTACCCAAGCTATGTGACCGTTTCTCATTAGCTCAGAGATGTTTACTCACCAGACGATACATAGTTGTGTGTGCATGTTGTGTGTAGACATGTATGTATACATATGTGTTAGTGAATCCATCCTTTCATTAGTTCTCCTGTAGTTCAGTGGTATCTACTATCACTGTGTATGCAGATCCCACGTCTGCACCCTGAGGTTCCCTCTCCACAGACATCTGTGGACAGGTGTTCCTGGACCTGTCTTTTCCATACCTGGAAATTCCATACCTGGAAATGCCTCGCTTGTATCCTCCACTCCTAGAAACTGAATGTGACCTTCTAGCTAATGCTTACAGGCCATAGAGTGGGATACATTGCTATTTGCTTCCTCTTATTTTGAGGAAAGTTCTATACCCTGGCAGTGGTTAACTTTTTTTTTTAATCAATATGCTAATGCATAGATGTATCATCAAAGAAATAATATATGCCTGGCACACAGTAACCTCTCAATTCACGTTAGCTATTAACATTATTATAGCTCATTTGTCCTCCCTGACCAGAGGGCATCCCTTCTTCTATCATAGCCCTGCTATGTCTGAAAGTACAACTACCCATAGTTACACCTGCCAGGGAGCTGTGTGAGGCTTGGTGCGCTTGTAAAGGTCTCCTCTGGTTAGATTGCTCCCAGCCATTGTCATCCATATCTCTCAGCAGGATGAAAATCTCACACATCCCTGGCAGGCAGGACTCACTCGTATTTTTTAAAGTCTCTAGAAAATAATTCTCAGGGGTTTCTGTAGACGTTACATCCAAAACCTTAAATTTCTAAGACACAAATTGTTTCCTAAACTCATCCGTCTGCAGCTGACATTTTTTTCTAGGCAAGACCTGAGACCAGACACACTGGCCAATGCCTACCAGAGAAGTATAGTTTTAGTCATGACACTTTGATATGGTTTGGCTGTGTCCTCATTCAAATCTCAACTTGATTTATATCTCCCAGAATTCCTACATGTTGTGGGAGGGACCCAGGGGGAGGTAATTGCATCACGGGGCCGGTCTTTCCCATACTATTCTCGTGATAGTGAATAAGTCTCACGAGATCTGATGGGTTTATCAGGGATTTCTGTTTTTGCTTCCTCCTCATTTTCTCTTGCTACCACCATGTAAGAAGTACCTTTTGCCTTTACAATAATTCCCCCAGGCATGTGGAACTGTAAGTCCAATTAAACCTCCTTTTCTTCCCAGTCTCAGGTATGTCTTTATCAGCAGCATGAAAACGGACTAATATAGTATATTGGTACCAGTAGAATGGGGCATTGCTGAAAAGATACCCAAAAATGTGGAAGCAACTTTGGAACTGGGTATCAGGCAGAGGTTGGAAGAGTTTGGAGGGCTCAGAAGAAGACAGGAAAATGTGGGAAAGTTTGGAACCTCCTAGAGACTTGTTGAATGGGTTTGACAAAAATTTTGATAGTGATATGAACAATAAGATCCAGTCTGATGTGGTCTCAGGTGGAGATGAGGAACTTTTTGGGAACTGGAGCAAAGGTACTCTTGTTGTGTTTTATCAAAGAGACTAGTGGCATTTTGCCCCTGCCCTGGAGATTTGTAGAACTTTGAACTTGAGAAAGATGATTTAGGGTAGCTGGCAAAAGAAATTTCTAAGCAGCAAAGCATTCAAAAGGTGACTTGGGTGCTGTTAAAAGCATTCCATTTTAAAAGGGAAATGGAGCATAAAAGTTCAGAAAATTTGCAGCATGATGATGCAGTAGAAAAGAAAAACCCATTTTCTGGGGAGAAATTCAAGCCAGCTGCACACATTTGCATAAGTAGCAAGGAGCCTAATGTTAATCCTCACGAGAAAAATGTCTCCAGGCAATGTCACAGACTTTCATGGCAGCCCCTCCCATCACAGGCTAGGAGGCCCAGGAGGAAAAAGTGATTTTGTGGTCTGGGCTATGTGTAGACTAGGGACTTGGTGCCCTGTGTCCCATCTGCTCCAGCCATGGCTCAAAGGGGCCAATGTACAGCTCAGGCTATGGCTTCAGAGGGTGGCAACCCCAAGCCTTGGCAACTTCCACGTGGTGTTGAGCCTGTGGGTGCACAGAAGTCAAGAATTTGAGAACCTCTGCCTAGATTTCAGAAGATGTATGGAAATGCCTGGATGCCCAGGCAGAAGTTTGCTGCAGGGGTGGGGCCCTCATGGAAAACGTCTGCTAAGGCAGTGCAGAAGGGTTGGAGCCCCCACACAGAATCCCTACTGGGGCACTGCCTAGTGGAGCTGTGAGAAAAGGGCCACCATCTTCCAGACCCCAGAATGGTAAGATCCACCAACAGCTTGCACTGTGCTCCCAGAAAAGCCACAGACACTCAATGCCAGCCCGTGAAAGCAGCTGGAAGAGAGGCTGTACCCTGCAAAGCTACAGGGGTGGAGCTGCCCAAGACCTTGGGAACCCACCTTGTACATCAGCATGGATGTGAGACCTGGAGTCAAAGGAGATCATTTTGGAGCTTTAAAATTTGACTGCCCTGCTGGATTTTGGACTTGCATGGGCCCTGTAACCCCTTCATTTTGGCCAATTTATCCCATGTGGAATGGCTGTATTTACCCAATACCTGCACCCCCATTGTCTCTAGGAAGTAACTAGCTTGCTTTTGATTTTACAGGCTCATAGGCAGAAGAGACTTGCCTTATCTCAGATGAGACTTTGGACTGTGGACTTTTGGGTTAATACTGAAATGAGTTAAGACTTTGGGGGACTGTTGGGAAGGCATGATTGATTTTGAAATGTAAGGACATGAAATTTGGAGGGGCTGGGGCAGAATGATATGGTTTGTCTGTGTCCCCATTCAAATCTCAACTTGAATTGTATCTCCCAGGATTCCCATGTGCTGTGAGAGGGACCCATGGGGAGGTAATTGAATCATGGGGGCCAGTCTTTCTTGTGCTATTCTCATGATAGTGAATAAGTCTCATGAGATCTGATGGGCTTATCAGGGGTTTTCACTTTTGCTTGCTCCTCATTTTCTTGCTGCCACCATGTAAGAAGTGCCTTTTTTTTTTTTTTTTTTTTTTTTTTTGAGACGGAGTCTTGCTCTGTCGCCCAGGCTGGAGTGCAGTGGCCGGATCTCAGCTCACTGCAAGCTCCGCCTCCCGGCTTCATGCCATTCTCCTGCCTCAGCCTCCCGAGTAGCTGGGACTACAGGTGCCCGTCACCTCACCCAGCTAGTTTTTTGTATTTTTTAGTAGAGACAGGGTTTCACTGTGTTAGCCAGGATGGTCTCGATCTCCTGACCTCGTGATCCACCCATCTCGGCCTCCCAAAGTGCTGGGATTAAGGCTTGAGCCACTGCGCCCGGCCAAGAAGTGCCTTTCATCTCCTGCCATGATTCTGAGGCCTCCCAAGCCATATAGAACTGGAAGTCCAATTAAGCCTCTTTTTCTTCCCAGTCTCGGGTATATCTTTATTAGCAGTGTGAAAATGGACTAATACACACTTGATAATCCGAACTCCTTTCCTTTGGCCCAAGTGGCCTATCCTCCTAGCTAATGATAGGTTCTTTGGCTTTACTAGGAGCTGACATTCCAAACCAAACCTGCTTCTTCGGGTGAAGCAAGATATCATTCAAGTTGGACAGATACAGAGCATTCAGTAAGCAAGTACCGGGGAGAGGGGAAAGAAGAGAGAGAACACAACCAACCATCGCAAAAAATCGGGATTCTCCAGACAGTATCTGTCCTGAAATTGGCATAAGACAATTTTTTTTTTTTTTTTTTGCAGGATCTGCATGAACCCAGGGGTCTGTGCCTAGAAGTGTATTAAGATTAAGTTTTATTTGATTGTCTTTGGACAGGCAAGAGGGTTAAGGAAGATTATATGGAATGAATAAACTAGAAGAGGTTGGTGATGGATTAGAAATTGGAATCCAACCCTGTTGATGTGTTTATTTGATTTTCACATTTTCCTACCCTCTTTATTCCCACTCACCTCTCCCCATGCCCAGACTGACATAAATGATACCTTGATGGCTATTTCAGTTGCAACCCTATATATCTAGGGAAGCCTGAGAGCTCCCCAGCTGCCAGCCAACTCTGATCCCCTAATCCCAAAGAGACCAGCTGGTCAGAGTTCTCAGGGATGGCAGACCCCAGTGCAGATTGGGCCTCTACTACCAACAGTCTCTGGTCATGGTCAGATGGCTTAACTTCTCTGTGTATTGGCCTTAATATCTGCCTCCTGCTCCCCTTCCACACACACTACCCCAGATGATAGCAAGAAGCATTCTAAACTTCTTGGAATACTATTCTAGAAATTCACCTTTCTATTTCTCACTATCATTACCAGATCAGAATATAGTCCTTAAGAGGATTAACATGATCTTGGGTGGGCCAGTCGCTTTACTGCTGGCCTGGGCAGCTGTTTAGTCATCGGTCACCAGGAGAAAGTGAGGATGGATCAGTGCAGCTCAGCCCTGCCACTCAGTGCATAAGAGCAAAGATTATTTTCCGGGATCCTGGGCTGTCTGCAGATTTTGGGAGTACCTACAGATACCACATGGTTTAAAACTCCATTGGTGAAAAGCAACAGCCAGCATTCACCCTGGTTGGAGTTCAGTATGATGGTGAGGGGATGTCTAGAATATAGATAAAACTGAAAGGCCCCTCAAAATGGTGACTAATTGATGATTTGAAGAAATAGGCATAAATTTCTGTTAAGTGTGGGTCAAATCCCTTGCTCTCCAGGCCCTCCTAAAGCTCAATTTAGTGGTCATTGCCTGCTCGATGCCACTAAATTTTCTGGTAATCTGCAAGGATATGTAATTATGCTGTAGTTAGTGATTGTTCACTAAGTAAACCTTTGGTGTAGTTACCATGTAAGTCAACGGTATTTACAGGATACTTTTTCTGCCTGTAACTCAAAGCCTTACCGAAACAAATTGGAATTGCCTTCTGGAGGCCGTTGTTATAAATTACAGACCCAACATCTGTCCACATCTGCAATGTCTAGACAGCCTGTCTCAGCTACAAGAGAGAAGAGAGACGAACAAGGGAAAGGGAGGAAGACTTTAAGAGTGGCAGAGAAGTCTCAGATTCATACAATTTTTCTCTTCAGAGGTTTTCCCAAAGGCTTGCTGTGCTGGCTTCTAAAATTGACCTGAATTATCAGCAGCCCAATGCCAGGCTCTGGAGGGTTCGGGGCCTGGTCATCACCCCTGGATGTGATGGCAATGCATCCTCTTCTCTTGGGCCCTATCTCTGCCCCGACAGATTCTCAGAGGTCACAGTAGGGCCTAGAAGATGGAGTTATAAATACAGAAATTGACTATGGCCAGATCGGAAGAATCAGCTGTATCTCCAAACATCCCCCCTTTTCTCTGTCTCCTGCTCCCTGACTCTCACCACCACCTGGCTCGGCTTTTCAGAGGGGGGTAAAGCATTCATTTGCCTACCTTTCCCGCGGTCCCTCTCCTGTACCCACGATAAGGAGCCTGCCCGTCAGCTGAGTGATTGTATTTTTTTACAGTTCCTAGCACAAACCTTCTCATTTATATGTAAAGCAGCCATTAGTCATAGCTCCGTTCCCACACACTGCCTGATGTACAATCACATTTTGCAGCGGATGAATCTTTCCACACAGCTGCTCTGCTATGAATAATCCGTCTCTAGGCCCATAAATCAGAAAAAAATCATGCACCTCGTTCGCCTGATCCTTACACAAAGTCATATATTTTACATGAGGATGAGCTAAATATTCATGAGTCTTAAAGGCTTTTTTCATAGGCACTTGTTGGGGTTTTCTACTGTTGGGGGGATACCAAGGTTGTATTTAGGAGAACCAGGGATTTTAAAGAGGAAAAAGAGGCAGGAAAGAATCTCTCTCTCTCTCTCTCTCTTTCTCTCTCTCTCTCTCTCTCTCTGTGTGTGTGTGTGTGTGTGTGTGTGTTTAAGTGGGGGGGGGGAAGAAAGAGAGAGGAGAAAGAGAGAGAAAGAGATAGATTGATTGAGATTGCAAGCTTATGTCTTAGTCATGTGGGACAAAGGATGCTATTGTGAGGTCTTAAAAACATGATAAATACTTGTGTACCTGAGCTTCGATCCTGCCCAGAGCCATGAATATTGCCTCCCTGACCTTCAAGGTCATTTGATGAACCTTTGCCTTTTGACCTGTGGAACAATGAATTTGGTCCTTCTCTGTGTACGAAGGTGGGTGGGAGAGCCCCACCTGGATTTGATAAAAGCAGGATTTGGGGTGAGGGATGGGGGAAGGTGGGAAAATCAGCAGATGCAAAGGAAACTGCTCTGATGCTAGCAAAGCTTCCTACCTACACGTGACTTAAGACCTCCAGCAGCTACCTGGTATTCTGTGTCTGCCCCATTCTTGTTTCAGAAAGCATTTAAGGTGGCATTGCTCATTCTCTGTTTTATCTCCCTCCCTGGTCTGTCTCCTTCCACTCACCCTCTTAGCCTCCCTCATCATCTCGCTTTCTTGTCTCTAGGCATCTTCTCAGATGGCCCCGTGCTCTGCTGGGGCAAGCTCCTCAAACTCTCTCCATCTACCAAAATGCAAAATCTGACCTCTCCAGAAGCCTCCTTCTACTAAATAGAGAAGGGAGACTTACTTGCCTTGCTGTGCAAGCCCCACACTCTTGCCTTCCCTAACTAACCCACTCATCATACCAGCCCCTCTGCTGGCAGGTGCTTTTTCATTTTATTCTGGCATTCACTCAGCATTTGTCTGTGTGTTCAGTGGCGCTGTCTGACTGACTCATTAATGCCATGGTCTGCAGTGGTGATGATGATGTGTCCTCACTGGTCTCTGAAGGGTGGCAAATTCTGCTTCTTGGATTTCACTGACAACACAGGGAATGCATTTTTAGGGAGAGATTTCTCAGGTTTAGCTCTAGATCTGGAAACACACGTATGCCCTGAGACCCTTTAGCCTTCAGTGGATAATGATAATAGCCTTCAGTGGATAATGATAATAGCCTTCAGTGGATAATGATAATACCTTGGGTTTGAGTAGGCTGTCCTTGGATGAAGAACTGTATCAAAAGTGTAATGGCACTCAGAGGGTTACTTCTCTATTTAAAATCACTTCTCTATTTAACAGATGGGCAAACTGAGGTATAATCTTGGGAAATTCCTTTTTAAACTTCAAATCAAGACGTCATGACAGGCAGCTGCAATTACTTCTGAGTTGACTTTTGTGATCTGGACTCTGGGCATCAAGCTTTTCTACCACCCTCCAGGGTCCAAGGGCCAGGGATCGAAGCCTTGCCCCATTTCTCTCAGTTCCCAGGCTGACCTGTTGTTCTGCTGCCCCTTGCCCCTCCTGCCCTCAACCCACTTTTGCTAATGTTCGGAAAAAATTAAGTCGAAGAGCCGCCAGAGAGGAGGAAAAAGTCCAAAGAATCACAGATGGCAGACTCGCAAATTTAATTTAAAATCATTCTTTATTATCCAAAATATTAAAATTAAAGCTATAATGCCCAAAGGAAAACACAGATGAAAACCCCCAATGTTTCACGGCTCTTCCTCAGGGGGTCCCAAAAACACTGAGTGGTAATACTTTTGAAAAGAAAGCAGGAGTGCATAAGCAAAGAGCCAGCTGTAGATCATTGAGCCAAACACTCAGTGACTGACCCAATCAGCTTCCCTTAAAGCCAAACACCAACTGTTTCATATGCAATTAATGATTGCCCTGGCAAATTAAAGTGCATCAAGTCATCACAGGCATCATTGAATGAGAAGACACACAGCAGTCACAGGTATCTCATCCCTGGCATCTACATAATGATATTACCAGGCTAGTCTAGGCTCAGAGATTTAATTCTGCAAAACACCATGCACTAAATATTTATATTCATAAAAGGGCTAAAAAAATGCCCACATGCTACCTCTAGGCTCCCCATTCATCTAGAATAGGCTGCTGGTTTATCTGCTGGGGTCTATGGTTGGGAGTAAAGGGTACAAGTCAAGTGTCAGGAGGATCCCAGTGTTCCTGGCCCCCAACTTCACCTTTCAAAAGGGTCTTGACTGGGTGCAGTGGCTCACGCCTGTAATCCCAGCACTTTGGGAGGCCGAGGTGGGCGGATCACGAGGTCAGGAGATCGAGACCCTCCTGGCTAACACGGTGAAACCTCGTCTCTACTAAAATACAAAAAATTAGCCAGGTGTAGTGGTGGGCACCTGTAGTCCCAGCTACTGGGGAGGCTGAGGCAGGAGAATGGTGTGAACCCAGGAGACAGAGCTTGCAGTGAGCCGAGATAGCGCCACTACACTCCAGCCTGGGCGACAGAGCAAGACTCCGTCTCAAAACACCGTGTTAAAAAAAAAAAAAAAAGGGAGGGGTCTCATTCCTGGATTGGGTACTAAGTGGCATCCAAGAGTGGGCAAAATTCCTTCCTTCTCTGGAGATGTCAAAGCAGAAAAGAAAGCCCCTTCATATGTCAGGGTCAAGAAAGGAGTGTTAGAATGGATGACAACATCTGTTCCCCATTCTTTGGTGCAGAAAATCAAGGTCCAGAGAAGTACCAGAGACTGTTACAGTCATCCTTTACAGGTTCCAAATTCTTTTTTTCTTTTTTTTTGAGATAGGGTCTCACTCTGTCACCCAGGCTGGAGTGCAGTGGCACGATCTTGACTCACTGCAACCTCTGCCTCTGGAGCTCAAGTGAGCCTCCCACCGTAGGCTCC